AAATGCTATTTTTTTTTGGATAGATAGCGTGTTATACAGTACGGTAAATATATACCTCTGTGTTCCAATACCAATCCAAACAAGATAAACTGCATTTCTCTGTACGTAAACAATGCACGCAACAAGCTGCAGCCTCTATCCTTGTCAATCCAGAAATGCTGTTTGTTTCTTGTCTCTAAAAGAGAAGAATGGGCGTGAGACGAACATTACGGGTTCTCTCCTACTGTTTACCTTTCCAATTTTGTCTAATTTGTCCAAATTGCTCAGGCGACCTCCCTAGCAAAATGGCATGCCCACTGTCAAACTGCACAGAAATATGACTGATCGCCTTCATTTTGCCCATACCAGGCTTTGGCACCCGTCTCTAAATGGTGTATTCTTTCCATGGCGCCAAACCAACCACCCTACATTTAATTAATTTCCTTTTATTTACATTACTGAGCTTTTGCGCCCCTACGACGCATAATGTGCTCCTATATGGGAGAGTCAGAGATTTTCATTTAATCATAATATAATGTCGCCTCAACATGCTCATTCTGACTGTTTGGTTTTGTCACCAGTTCCACAGTAAATAGGCCACACTGAGCCAGAAAGATTGAAACAAGCGCCAGCTTCACTGGTCCGCATCTGATTTAACGCATTAAATTGCCCTCATCAAGGGCTATTGGAGAGTAATGTTGGTGAAAGATTCGCCGAAGGAGTAATAAGCAAAAATGGCTTTTATTTTAAAAGCTGCAAGTCTTGCCCTCAATTCCCCAGACACTTTATTTTCACATAAAGTGCTCGTCACAATGACTGGAGTGTTGAAAATAAAGGAGCACAATGATAATGGGTCACATTATTATTCAAATGGAGTGTGTTAAAGGCGGCATTAGTGGCTAAACTATGCATGATGTTAAACAAAGTATAATGTGCAATGTGAAAAGGTTGCAGCCTAAATCTTTACATCAGCTGCACTTCGCTGTATGGAAACTGAATTAAAATGTGGTGGGAGTGTGTATCCTGCAAAAGGAGTTCTTTGACTATGTCTTGAGAATGATATTAACAGTATATTTCAGTTTTCAGGCTTTTTTGTCCTGAGTAAAACTGGAAAATGCACACTCACTCTTCTACATTTGAGTCCTTAAACGTGGGAGTTTGAAACTTTTGTTTACTTCAGACCCAGACCTGTTCAACCCCGAGGACCATCAATCCATCATCTCCATGGTAGGCCAGTAAAGTGTTTTTTTTTTTCTCCCAACAGCAGTGTGTGTGTGTGTGTGTGTGTGTGTGTGTGTGTACAATGGTAGGCAGATGTCGCCTGGACACCACATGCTGGCGACTAATAACTGACTGAGGAAGCAGCTGTGCTTTCATCACTTCACATCATTTCAGCAGAACATCCTAAAACAACACCCACGGCAAACATGTGCATGCTCGTCCAGTCCCAAATTGTTTACATCTTAAATCTTATTTATCCGAGAAAATACCGTGTATATTTAACCGTGCATTTAATCATTTGCTAGACGTTAACAAGTAAGGCAGACTCAAATCCAAGGAGCGAGCTGAGTCGTGCAAAGTAAAGGATCTTGCTCGAGACTCTACTCAGCTACTGCAAGTAACATTGTGTAATTGTGCACAGTAATAGAGCCTTCTTTCTGTCTGATCAAAAATACGCTGCTAGCTCGATAGGCTGCTCTAAGCTGCCCCTAGGTGTGACTGAGTGTGTGACTGTGCAGCCCATCCAGGGTGTATTCTCACCTCACAGCCAGCGTTCCCAGGATCGCCTACTATACTATTTGTAGAGCTTCACAATGCAACCAAAGAACTCAAGAACGCTTAATGTTGACCAGTGTAACAGGCAAAGCGCTTCCAATTCAAAATATTAGCACTTGCTCTTCTGATGTTATAGCAATAAATGAAATATCACGGTGGCTCTAGAGCCTATCCCAGGAATACACACTCAGGGGTAATTAATGCATCCAAGCCATTTACTGGCCTGTTTTTGGGAGTAAACCCACATGAATACAGATACAACAGACCTCTGAACTCCGCACAGACAAGGGCTCAAGCTCAGGATCAAACAGCGGACCCTGAAACTGTGAGGGGGGGGCAACACTACCCACTGCACCGCCATTATACACACAGGCTCTCGATCAAAAATCATTAAGATCTTAGGCCCAGAGCTGCAGATGTGTTTGGAATTAACTTGCCGCCTAAAAGAGACGCAGAGTGAATCACTCGCCACGTCATAATTATTAAATGGATTTTTAGGAATGTGTTTTTGTATGGATGGTAATCAGCCGTAGTACCATCCATCTTTAAATCTGGTTATTCACCCAGGCTCATTAGCATTGTTCCAGTCCAGACTGCTGAGGAAGCGTGCTGTAGAGAAAAAAGACCATTTCAGAGTACATCTTCATGACCTCTTCATCATGGTGCATTTTTAATTAGAATTTGAGCGCCTGTTGGATGGGTGAGATCCTAAATTGTGCGTAGAGCCGTATGTGTTGGGTGAGTAAGTGATGAACTGTGAGCTGAGTTGTGCGAATACCGCTCCCCTGTTTATTTCTGTATGTCTGGATCAGGTCATTTGTATTGTCCCTGTTTAAATACATAAGCACATCCATACATCCATACATCCATACATCCATCCATACATACATACATACATACATGTGTAAGCATATAATACTAACCTGCTCGAAGTGATTAAGTACAGAATAAAACATGATGGAGTGGTGTGATGAACTGGAGTTACTGATATCATCCCAAAGTTGCGGAGAAACCACGAAAAGCACAACCTCCTCTGTCCTGAGGACTCTCCCATGGTGAAAACTCTTTACAGCTTTACAGACTGTTACAAAGCACTGACAATGGAGACTCCTTCCACAGATGTGAAATAAACGTTGCCTTAACAAAGCGTCACCATATCAACAATTATACATCGCTAAATAACCACTCAAATTTATTATTAGACTTTGACTAGAGTATGAGGAGCACACCGCATACACCTCCCTATGAAGGCGCGGTTACTATGGAAACGATAATAAATAAGAAGGCGTGCACACTAATACAAACCTGCGATTTGAATTACAGATGGCAGGACTGTCAGTCCTGCTGTTCTAGAAAATGATCCAACACGTCAGGATTGAGAACTCAACAACAAAAGAACCTTTGAACCCGTGACCTGCGCTCTTAACGCTAGCCTAACATAACAGAGCTTAATGTGCACATAATTCAGGGCAGGTTTGATGACTGCTACATGCATGGGTGCATCTCAACCAGGTCTGCTCAGTGTATCTGATCTCTAAAGGCTACGTGGATGTGGTGGTGTTTAGCCTTCCAGAGTTATGGCTTTCCCAGAAGCCAATTACAGTTATTGATGAAGGAGACCTGGCGCTATCGATCACGATGAGTACATTCATTTGCGTATCCCTTGGATAATTAAAAATGCACTCGTGTGTCAAGTGGAATAGTGTGCCCACTCAACACTACACAGAGATCATATTCAAAACGTCTGAACCTGTACTATTCTTCTTTTTGTACTTTTTTTATGAACCTTACCTTAAGTTATAAATTAGGGCACTGGAGTGAGGACAGTTTCATGGCATCATTCACGCTCAATTTCCATCTGTGGCTTGCTTTTTGATTATGGTTGTAAATCTCTTGCTCTGGGTTGGACAGTATGTTCTCTCTTCGGTTATGCTTTACTAGCTTTCCCGAATTTTCTTCCAGACCCTCATGTGTTATGATTCCTCACAGCAACATTAAAGTCATTTAGACTCAAAAATTTTATTATGAAGCATTTATTTATAACAATCCATAATTATGTCATGTGAGGTTACTGGGAGCCAGAATTACATATTAACCATATATATATATATATATACAGGAAGAAAAAAGTTGGACTAGACCCCAACAGGATTCAGGTCAGTAAATTTCATGACAACAGAATTTGGATTCTGGATGTCACGGTGGGTAGTGTTTCCACCTCACAGCGCAGGGATCCTGCGTTTGCTCCAGAGCTCAGGTTACGTCTGTGTGGAGTTTTGCATGTTCTCCCCATGTCCGTCTGGGTTTCTTCTGGGCTCTCAAGTTTCTTCTCAAGGTCCAAATACAAGCAGGTAGGTAGATAGGCTATGCTGAATCACCCGTAGGTGTGAGTGTGTGTGTTCATGGTGCCCTGTGATGGACTGGCGGCCCCTCTGGGTGCATTCTTCTAACTTGCACCATGACCCTGACCAGGATGAAGTACCATTTTTTTTTTTGGTTTTGCTGAACATCTCATTTTTATATCATAGAAAATATCCTACCATATTAATATAACAAGGATACAGTTTATAGTTTGTAGCTCATAACAGCTAAAAGTAGTAGTGAGTAGCTGTAAAAGCTGTAAAAAAGCAGCAGCAGCCAAAAGAATAAAAAAGCTACCTATAACTAGGCAGTAAATTGTTCAGATATGATGCTATAATTAAACAGTATGATAAGACGGTTTTCAACTAATTACTGCTGGAAGATAGATGTATGGAAGCTTGGTTTGTGTCTATGGCGTCTGAGCAAAAGGGCCCTTGATTAGAGAAGATAACAGGAATGAACGGGCTCACCAAGGACCTTACACACCCAAAGTCAAAACCATAGCCAGAGACCAACAAGCCAAGAGAGCTACTTTAGCTACATTTGCGTTTAGGTCATTTCCACTTGCACAACAGTCCTAACATCGGCACGACTCCGTATAGCCTAAAAATATCTCACATGCATCTAACCGGGAATTGTTTTCAGCTCAGCCGTCAGCAGAGAGATTTCTGAACGTCTACGCTCCTTCACAATTCGGCCTCAGCCCTAATCCATCACACTTTCTGTCTAGACATTTCAACGTAATAGTATACACGCCTCCTACAATTATTTTAGCTCTTTCTTCCTCTGGAGAAAGAAATTTCACAGAACAGTTTGATGTAGATAGTTTGCAGGCTCTGATCACATGACATAGTGCTAAAGGTAGAATATTCAGTGTGAAATCTGGGTGTGTCCAAGATTCGAACCTGAGAACTCCTGCACCATAAGTAAGAAGCAAACCCCTAGCCCAACAAGCCACACTGTTTACAAAGCGAGCTGTTTATCTTGATAGACCATGTTCATAACTCCCAAGTGTTCCATATTGACTAACATTCCTGTTCCCTGAAACGTCTCGATCAATTTCTTGGCCAATTTCTTTTACTACACGACTTGGTTTCCGTAGGTTGCTGTAAATGTGTGCGGAATTAAAGGACAATGAATCTCAGGAACGATGTCAAGAATGAATCTTTTCTTACTAGTTCCTTATTTGCACAGAGTCGTACACTGTCGCCCTTTATCCGTATCACCACTCATCATTCAGAGAGCCCAACCTAACATCTCTACATCCCTCTTCTCTCGAACTTCAGCATGGCAAGAGGGTAATGAAACAACAGCGAGACAAAACAAAACAAAGAACCGGCAACGCGTAAATGTCATGGCATAACATTTGGCTAATGTTGTGAAACGTTCACCCTTCTGGGTAGTGAGATCCACTGGATCACTGTAAACAGTGTCATCTGGGTAGCGTGCACTTCATTTACACTGTCCGCCTGACCTCTAGGTTCGGTGCCGCTGGTGAGAATCCCAGTGCCATGTGCCTGTGCGGACCTATAGCATTTTCCCACGACTGAATATACTTCAGTTTCCTTTTGAAGCTACCTTGTATTTTATTTCAGATTGCTTGTCATGCATGCATATATTAATGGCTAAGTCAAGGGTGACGTTTTTTTTTTTTTTTAGCTGTTTGTGAACTCTGTAATTTTTAATGTCACAGACGATGAGGTCGCCTATGAGGTCATCTTTAAGATTACCAAAATCACATTTTTCGCAAGGATTTTTTTAGTGTGGAAATGTAAGCCTGCATAGCCTCACCTGGTTTCTGATTCGTAGTGTTGAAGGTGTGTCTGTCCATTTTTTTATAGGTAGACAGATCTCTGAGAACTTCTACAAAAAGTACGTCTGGATCCTCATGGTCTTCTCTGTCCACGTACAACACCTGTAAGCTTGCACTTTCTTGACTTGTCCAATAGCACGGCACAACAGGAGATGCGCCATTCTTTGTTGAATTTACGCCAGGTGTTGGCGATATGTTCATCCAAAGTAATCAATCTGTGTGTTGAAGCCCTTCTTGTTTTTCTGTGTTGTACACTGTCACCCTGTATCCACATCACCACTCAACCAAAGGGACCAACCTAGTATCTCTACAGTTCCTCCCGGCTTTGTTTGAACTGATCACGAAAATCACCAATTTCCCCGTCAGTTTCCAATGAATATAGTCATTGTCGTTGCTGTACTCCTTTGTTGTTTTCCTACACTGCTGACAAGAGTGATACGCGCTTATGGGTTTGGAAAAAGCGACATTAATTCCAGTCTGACCGTTCTCATTCATGCCGCATCGCCACATATCGGACATGCATCTGATGTAAGACCACACGCGAAGAGGTCTGATTTGAAAAGATCTATGTGTCCACACTGTCCTGAAAAACATTTGTGCAGATTTGTGTCACTGCAACATGGTCATGTAAATGTAGCCTCGATTCTCTTAGTCCAGACTTGTCAAACTCAAGGCCCACGGGCCACACCCGGCCCGTGATACAATTATATCTGGCCCTCGAGATAATTTCGTATGTCTGTTATTAATGGCCCGGCAGTAAATCGCACTCACACCACTCATACTACAAATCCCACAATGCACTGCAACATCTGCCGCGCGGCGAAGAGCTGTGAGCGCCAGTCCCTCCTCCCTGCTGCTTTAATGATACACTCATCAGTGGTCAGTGGTGAATGCATGGGTCAGCCTAGAAAGTGACATTTAAGCTAGCCACGCCCCAAAAAAATGGCCAAACAAAAAGTGGACTTTGAAAACAGGGGCTTTCAAAACAGGTGGGAGGCAGAGTACCTGTTTGTTGACATTGAAGGTAAACCTGTGTGCCTTGTTCGCTAATGTGCTAATGTGGCCGTAATTAAAGAATATAACCTAAGACGGCACCATGAGATGAAACATCAGGACAAGTACAAAAACCTGGACACACAGCTTGTTCATATTTGAAATATTCTCATTTTGCTTGAAGGTATTGTTAATGAAAAACACAATTATTTTAAATTTGATTTATTTTTTTGTGAAAGAATTATTGTAGTCTGGCTGTTCAAATTCACATTTCTGTTTAAATCATAGGCAGTTTTAAACTGTTGAATAAATGTTAATCCCGTTTGGCCCACAACTTAGACCATGTTTTAAATTTTGGCCCCTTCTGTGATTGAGTTTGACGCCCCTGTGCTAGACGGTAGACATTCAGAAGAAGGGTTTGTGATGGCGAGTCCAGTCGCAGCACACTATCCGCTATTATGACTAGTAAGCAAATGGTTCTTCGATTTTGATATGAATAATTATTACCGTAAGGAGTTCATCAAATACATTCTGCCTGAAAGGAGATATCCACAAGCAGGGTTTAGTCACTACTAGGTCCACGCAAAGATGGACCTAGCTATGCAACTATTACATGTTGACATTACTCAACTATTACTGATTTTATGATTCAGCAATATTATATAGGACCAATTCAAAATATATGAAATTTCTCATTCACGTTTAATTTACTCTGCATTACAGAGTAAAACAGACCGACAGCATTATTCAATATTCCTGCAGCTGCAGATGGTACGAAGGCCCAAGAAGTTAAGATGAACACTAGCTATGGAGTACTATGTTCTTTGTCACTGAGTGAACTAAACACAAAAGCTTAAAGGTTTTCTCCTGGTAGATTTCCTGTAACTTTGTAAAACCTGATTAAACCAGTATAACAAGAGGTCTCTTTATTTTTATTGCTTGTTAGTGTGTAATAAAGAATCACACCACTATTTTCTACTTTTTTTACTCCGAAAATATCTGGACAATGACAGAGTTTTTGTGATTTTGCCTTTATACATCACCACAATGATGTTAATTTCTTGTCAGTCAATTGTCCAAATACCTTTGAGCCCCTGAAAATGGAGGTACTTTGTTGAAAATGGCTGTAATTCCTAAATGGTAAATGCCATATTTTTGTGGAACCTCTTAAAATAAAGCTGAAAGTCTACACTTCCATCACATCTTGATTGTTTTATTTCAAATCCATTGTGGTGGTGTATAAAGGCAAAATCACACAAACTCTGTCACTGTCCAAATACTTCTGGACCTGACTGTATATATATCTATAACTACATGGCACAGATTTTTGCCAGGGTTCTTTTGCCTGTTGTATGTGCATTTAATTAAAGGGATCACGAGTGGCCTGGTATGTCCTTCTCACTGCTTAAATGTATACAGTTCTAGGAACAGGTGCTTTTAGAGTCTTGGCTTCTCATCACCACCATTTGCTAGCAATTAAGTGTAATATGGGGTGTCAGAGCAACAGCGCAGCATTTCTAGATATCTAGAGTTTAATGTTTGTTTTAGAGATTCATTGTGGCACGAGGCTTTTTAGAGTGTGGCTCAGAGGAAAACAGAGGAAAGAGGTCATTACAGCAATGGTTTTGGCAAAGCATGAAAACTATACCTATGTTAATAACTTATATAAAGAAATGAATCGCCTGCAGTAATTAAGGTGTAATGGAGAAGTATTGTTGCATTTATGGAGTTCAAATTTATATTACATAGAGCCAAACAGTTCAGTGTTAAGAGACTTGGAGAATGGCCAAACAAGTGACAGTCCTGGGATTTTAACTCACAAATTTACCTATTGCAGAACCTCAGCTGCTTAGATATCATAACATAAGACGCTGCTGCACCTCCAGGTAGACTACCAGTCAACTAGGCTTACCTAGGCTTCTTGCAAAGATCATTTTGGGAAAGGCGCCAATTTAACAGATACGGTAGCAAAAACATTCACTCTGCCTAAAGATGTCTAAAGCCTGGCTAGTTACGTGTGATTTCCTCCCACAGTGACTGTCATGCTTTGATCAAGTTGCCAGAGGAAGTTGCTTGAAGAAGTGAAATGGACATAAACCTAATCGTTTCAGTTTGAAATCAGATATCGGCTGTTAAAATGTCTGTGATGAGGCTCAACAGAAAAGTGTTCATCATATCCAGAGATCGCGAGTCTGAATCCTGATGATCGGGGGCCAAGGAGTCGAGAGAGCAATCGACTGTGCTGTCTGGGTGGAAGGGATGAAATACTCTCTCGACATTAGCGGCACTAGCCAAACATGGGCATCTGCGAGCTCATGTGTGTGGAAGAGGATGGATAGCATTTTCCTCTGAGCGTGTTACGTCGCCATGTGATGCAGCATGAGCAGCAGTCCAGAAGGATGCAGTCGGCTGGTTTCACGTGTCTTGAAGGAGGCACGTGTTAACCCTCCCCCTCCCCGGTTGGTAGCGGTTGTGTGATGCGCCACAGTCAGAATTGAATCTTTAAATGCAATTTTCTCCATTTTCACTCCTGGAGGTAACCTGATTTTAGAATGCTCAAATTAACTTGTGGGTGAGATCCATGCAAAGTGACACTTCAGCTCAGGACAGCGTTTTAGAACTATAGATAGTAGTTACAGTTTCACCATGAGATGCGTTTTCCCAGACAGCAACGGAAATCTCCATTTCTTGCTTCGCACATTACACCCACTACAAACTACACCCATACTCACCCAGGATTGCAACGTAGTGGACTCCCTAGGCAATCATCACACACTCAGTACAGCAAAGCAAATTGAAGTTCGTGTCAGTACAGTTTCAGAAAGCTTTTCTTCGCTCATCTTTCCTGTTCACCTCTCCTGAGTCACATATGGATCTCATTCTCTCCTCCTGCAATTCAGAAAGGCTTTGTAATGTAAATAGTGCCGTGTGTGGAATGAATGGATTAAGGTGCTTGGAGATTAATTCCAGAGAACCGACCCCACAAAGATAGATTAACGCAAACACACACTATCCACTTCCTAGCCAGGAGTAATGTCTTACACCAGGTTTTTACAAAAAAATTTGCAAAAATGCTCTTATACTACTACCTTAGTCTGATTTCACTACCTAACTAAAAACTGAAATTTATTATACTGTATATCATAACTG